CAGCCCTGCCCTTCCACTGGCAGGAAATCCAGCCCAGGCCAGGTTGCCCTTTTCCTGAATTCCATCTGGGGACTGGACGCAACCCCTGTGCCCTCAGCTGTAGTTAATTTCCCAGCTGCTTGGTGACACTCTTGGAGGTGGTCACATAAGTTTCCTCATCTCCACTGTGGTACTTTGGGGAAATAATTTTCTGCATTTCTCTTAATGACACGTTCATTTAGGAATTCATGTTCTTTGGGCGAGTTCTGCCTCTGAATACTGAGGCGCTGAAGCAGCACCCACCTACTGTTAATTGCACTCTGAAATAGGCATTGCTTTGGATTTGTGATCTCTAGCCATGGTCAGAGGATATTTATTTTTTACAACCTCCCTATCTTTCCACTTAATCTATCGCCTGTAGCCATGGTCTAGGGGTGGGGAGAGAGGGGGGGGGCTGGGAGAGAGAGAGAAAGTGGGAGCGCTGATTTCTTCACCTCCCATTAGTGGTACTAAGAAAAACAAATGGGATTGAAGAGGAGAGTTGCCAGATACATAAAAATAATCTGGGTGAGGACCAAGAGTGAGACTGTCTTTCTGTACTCAGCTTTTGTGGAGAGATGTTCTAAAATGATAAAATCATGGAGGAGGAGGAAGAAGAGAGAGGGAAAAAAAACTTTTTTAGATTTCAGGCTGTGGAAACCTGGTGTGTTTTATTTAGGTCCAGTTTGGAAACCTGTCATTAGCATCTTTATTACTTTTATGTTTGTATAAGGTTATTCTCAGGAGATGAGGTGACAATCCTGTGTAGGGCAGAAGGTTGAGATTATTATCTCCATTTCTAGTCCTGGCGGGACTGGAGGAGGTTGCTTGCCTGCAGCCAAAAGATAAACTAGCAGCAGTGTGGGAAGCTTACTCACTCTCTTCAGGTCTTAAACCATGGCATGGCCAGGCTGAAGAAGCTGAGGTTGACCTTTGGGATGCTGTCTACGTGTTGCTGCCTCTGTGTTCCTAGCAACTCTTTGGAGTGCAAATTCGTGGCCTCAGTTTTCCAGTCTGGGCAATGAGGTGAATGGTCTCAAGCCCCTTCCCAGCCTTGCAGATGTGGGAGGAAGGTGTGGGCAGCTTTTGAATAAAGAGGCTGCTATTGATGGGCATCGAGCAGGGCTGGAGTGGGCAGCAGTTTGTTCTGAGAGGGCTTCTTGGGAAGTGATGCCATTCACAGGAAGCCCAGGGCTCTCCCAGCTAGACCTTCTGTGTAAATTTGAGCCAGTCCTCTTTCTCTCTTTTTTTTATGAATGGGCTTTTTGTTCATGAGAGGAAACAACACATCTCAGCCACGGCTGTGTGAGGCTCTCGGGACAGGAGTGCTTTTTGGGGATGGCAGGTGGTGAGGGTCAGTGGGTGTCTCTTTCACAAAGGGGTCTTGAGGCCTCTGGCAACCACATATCTAGAAGGTCAACAAAGGACTAAATTCAGCCTGACTGGGGCTGCTGCTGATGTGATGACGTCAAACCTGGCAGCACTGTAGTTTTTAGTGGAAAGGTTTTTAAAGGCTTTTAGAAGACTCAGGAGACTTAGTTCTGGCATTAATCAGTTGTGTGACTTTGGGGAAAGTACTCTTCCTTGGCTTTAGTTTTCCCACCTGCAAAACAAGGTGGCAGGTTTGCATGCCTAGCTTTGGACGGTCTGTTCTGTGATGCTTTTCTCCTTAAATATGGCCCAGGATGCAACAGAGCTATTCTAGAAATGCTTTTGAACTCCTTGTGTGGAAAAAGAACATAGTTTTTTTGCTGCTGAGGTCAGGTGGTCTTTTTAAAGATCGTTTCACCCTTGTTCCTTTTTTGCTCCCCATGTCTTTCCAGTGAAGTCTACCTGCCCAGTCACCCTGGGGGAGATGTACAGATAATAATGGCATTTGGGTTTGGCTGCTGCAGAGTGTTGGAAGTTGAGGGGACCATGGACTGATTGCTGTCCTCTGTGCTTTTTCTATTGTCCTGTACTTAGCTTAAACCCTGAATGGAAGGGGGTGATGGAGAGGGAGTCCTGCTGAGGGATTTCTGAGCCCCTCCAAGTCATTGCTTTGTGTCCACTCACTGGTAATCTCTGTTCTTTGTCATCTAGCCTTTGATGAACTGAACATTCCATACCTTATCAATGACTTCCCGGGAAGCAGGAGTGTAGGGATTTTTAAGAGGTGATGTGAATCCTTAAAAAAAATTAACAACAGATGTTTGGAGATGGTTTCCTGACTTGGTGTAGCAATGAATATTGATAATAAGTGTGGTTAATGTACGTGGTGTTTATCTAGCCTTTACTGAATACAGGGTGTTTTCACATGCTTTATCTTATTTGGCATTATGATTGATTAGCATGGACTTGGAGAAAGATATTAAAATGTTTCCTATGACCATCTGCATTCTGACAGGGGCAATTTGAGTATAAAGAAGTGCTCTGTCAAGTGAATTAGCTGAATTAGGCTGTGTTATGGTAGCATATTCTGTAGATTTTGGAGGTCCCGATGAGGAAAGGCAGACTTTGACCTGGAATGAAAGGGATAACTTAGCAGAAACGTCAGTGATGTGCCTCCCTCCACAGAATGACTCAATTTTGGCTTCATAGAAAGACCACACTCCTCAGAATCAGTGTGAGTTTGTAACAAAGGCAGTATTGGTCTAGGCTAGGAATAGAGGAGTTGTTGGGAAATTGGTTAGTTTCCCCATCTCCTGTTTTTCAGTCTGTAAAATATTTACTCCACAGGCCTTGTCACACAGACCCTCATCCTGGCCCTGCTGCCTTTGGCTGACTGCCAACGTGAGGAGCATAAGGAAAGGCAGGATCTGGTGTCCAAGTTCTGTTCTTGATTAATACTCCTGCCGTTGGGTTTCTTTTCGGCCTTTTCTCACTTCTGTAGAGATCTGTGTGATGGAAGCAGCACCAGCTCTCATGGAAGCTGAAGCAGGCGAGGTGGAGGGTGTTCTGGACCCGTAAGCACCAAGGTTAACACACCACTGTTAAATAAAATCCCTTGCTGAATGTCTGTGGGATTTACCAATTACACTAGTAACTATTTCTTCAAGCCTGGCTAGTCCCCTTGCGAATGCAATTTATACAGGTAGGGGTGACGGGGAAGGAGTTTACTGAGCGATTATGCTGTTTACAAAAAATCACCCAGCAAGTTAGTGGCAGATGTGGCTTTAGAAATGAGCTGCCACAGTGGGAAGCAGGAAGATTCTTATAGCTATTTAAGTCCTAAAATCCAGTTTCTCAACTGCATGGTAAAATGCCAATTTCACTGATTGTTTTATAGAATGGTGGTCTTAAATTAGTGGCCCTTTCTGTTCCTTTCCTCCAGTTACATTGTCTCTGTCTTAGGAACTAATCAAAAGATTCCATTTTGGAAGTCTTGTCTAATTAGTTCCTCTTGGTTCTATATGTGTCTGTGTTGACATCTCCTGATTAGGCGCTGAATTTAACCTTGCTTGTCTATGTGCGTAAGGCAGCTGGATCCAGATGGGGGACTGGCAGATGATAATTGCTGCTGTGGACCCTGGAGCCCCCAACCACTGGGGTACACCCTGAGAACACCCTGTCCTTTATGGAGTGCCATTGCTATTTCATTTTCTGTTTTCTTTCCAAGATATTAGAAACGTGATAGCCACCAAACAGGACTTACCGGCTTTTGTTTCACTCGTTGACTTTCTTATTCTCGCCCTTTTTTCTATAAGTGTAGAATGGCACATATTCAGAACATTCTCAAGCTTTTTGAGACACCCTTGGGGGCTCACAGAATGCGTGCTGGTAGGCTCCATTTGTTCAGTGATGGCTTTGGTTTAGAGAAAACTTGATAGATTTGAAAACTAAGCTTTTTGCCCGTCTGCCCACCACTAGCATACCCTCTTAGACTTCAGGCCAGCCACATCGGCCTCACGCCCACTTGTTGTCTGGAGCACTGTAAGTGCTTGGAGTTGACATTGGTGGGTAATGGGTACAGCGATAGGAGCAGCCATCTGCCGACAGTTTATCAGATGGAAGGTGGCCCGTGTCATCAATACAGAGAGGTAGGCAGGGTTGTTTATGTGGGCCTTGGCAGTGAGGCACGACATCCTATTTTGTTGTATGTTTTCCCCCCGGGGAAATATGCAGAGAATTTCCCCCTTTTTCATAGTTGCAGTCTTTGGGGGGGGGGTGTTCATTATGAAGAGAAGTGGCATGAGTTGGGGGATTCAAAACCCATAGTTAGCCCCAGTGTTTAAAATTAGGATGTTAGTTTTGCTCATGCTTGCTAGGGCAACTTGAGCCAGTTATTTAGCCTTTTCCTGTCTCAGTCTTCTCCATGAAATGGGCCACTTTCGAGATATGGCATGCAACTTCTTGAATAACTATGTGGTCACATAAACAGAGAAGTTGGACAAACAGACCTGAGTTGGCAGGTGACCAGGGTTTTATTTTTTACCTTTGACTCAGAAGCTCAAAAATCTCAATTCTTTTCCACCTCTTTGTAGAGCTATCAGAATCCATTCCTCTAATCATTTGCGGTGCTCTTCTCTGGATCTCTGCCCATGCCCCACACCCTTCTAATGCACAGCCAAGAAAATGATCCTGCTGTGGCTCTTATCAGAAGCCGGGCCCGCCCTCATCAGCTGAGAGGAAAGATTTAGACCCCACCCAGCCCGTGCTGCCGTGCACGTGCATATAG